AGACAGAGACAGACACACAGACAGACACACACACACACACACACCGCATGCACATGCACACTATTGCACATACACACTATGTACATACATAAACACAAATATACATATATACACATATACCTATGCACACAGATACATACATATTTGTACACATGCACATCTGTACAAACATTCATATGCTTATATACATACATAGATGTACACATATAGTGACAGATGCACATAATCAAGTATAAAGGTAAAAGCAAATATAGAACAAACAAACGTCCAAATATACATATAAATAAATACAAACAGGTACTTTCTGGATGGATGTGCATGCACATGTGCGTGCATGGGTGCATGTCACTGTGTTTCAGCCGCGATTTCCGTTGACTTTGCAGATTTTGCAGGTATACAACTGCGAGTGGGACTTGCGCCGGCAGATCTCAATGCGTCTGCGCAGCTGTTCATGCAATGCATGTTCTTGTTCGTCTGCACTTGGATGCCTTGCCCTTGAACCCTTTCCTGCTTGGTCACGACCAAAGAAGGAATTGTGCATCAGCTGGCTGTGGCTGCGCAGTGCTGAGGCGGATAACAGCACAAGAACATGCCATGAGATGTTAGAACAGACGAAAATTAACGAACCATAACAAACTATGATATACTCTCCCGAGAGAAGGATCCATCGCTTAACTGAGTTGCGGACACGATCGGCGTAGCGCAGGCCCGCAGCCATGGTGTTGATGCAGGACATCTGCGGAGGGTCTGAAAGTGTTGAAGCCAATAAATTCCGAAGCCACAGTTTAGGGTTCAGGGTTTAGGGCCAAGTTTATGGTTTAGGGTTTAGGGGCCAACAAGGCCAACAATTCCGAAACTACTCCTGCTTTTGAGAGATGCTTGGACAGAGCAGGCATGCGGCACCCGAAACAGCACAGAAACCCCAAAGTCCCAAAACCCTGAAACGCCTGAAACCCTGAACCGACAAACCCCCAGCCCAGGAGCCCAGTCGCGCCCAGAGCCGACACCAACCTCCCCCCCACCCGTAAACTCCCTTCCGCATGGACTCACGGCTGCGTTCTGCCTTCTGCTCAGGAAAGATTTCAAGTTTGTGCACCGTGAAATGGGCAGGCTTGGGTTTCGGGTACCCTCAACCTATAAACTCTGAAACACCCAACCCAAAGCTCAGCCACGGCCTTTTCGTTGTACTTGCCGATGCGCAGTGGCATCTTGAAGGTGATGCCTTGGCGCCGTTTTCAAGGTATACGGACATCTTACAATTGACCAGCTGCCACCTATTCAACTTGCCACAGCAAGAAACACATATTGCGGTCTATGCTCGGAATAAGCTACTATAATGGTAAGAAAGTCACTGTTCGACACGTATGATGTTAAGCTGCCATACTACAGCAACCATAGTATGTGCTGTGTATGCAGTTGTAAGCTCTTCCACAAGAACCCAGATGCTGTCGATGTAGCGCTCTGGAACGCCGAAGACGCTGGCGAGGCCTGGATCAAGACTCGCAAGGCTGGCCTAGGCTTCTTTTTCCCTGTTGAACCAACAGGTTGGGTTTTAGAGGTCCAGGGTTTAGGGTTGGGATTTTAGGCTCAGGGTTTAGGGTGTAGGGTTTAGGGTTTTTGGGGCCTAGGGCTTTAAATCACGTGGCAATATCGAAGATGTCAATCGGAAAGTTCTGGGTCCAGTGCTCTGCCGAAGCCGACTTCGAACCCTCCAAACCCACAGCCCAAACCTGCAAAGCTCTTAGCCCTAACCCTAAACCCCAAACCCTCCGAGCCTAACTCCAAAACCCCAAGGGCTCAAACACTGAAACCGCAAAGCCCTTCTAAACCCAAAACCCCAACACCCCAAAAACCCTTTGCGAGAACTTTGATGTATTGCTGGACCTGATACTAACCCTTACCCTGCTACACTAGCCCTTCTAAAACCCGCATAGCAACCCTTCTACAACCCTTATAGAACCCTTAGAGTAATTAGCCCTTTTGGAAGTCCGAAAACCCCTAATCTAGGGGCCTTCATCAATAATAGGGCTTTGGGCTTTCTTATGCTAGAGTTATAATAAGGAACACCAAGATAGTATTGGTAATTGTTGAAGCCCCTCTATGGGGGTTTCCGAGAAAAAAAAGGACCATAGTACCCTAAATAGTAGGATCCTTACTACAAGGACCCCAAAATATGGTACCCTATACCTTTGTTTTTTTCGGGAACTCCCATATTCAAACCCCGAATCCAGTCCCTCGGGCCTTCCTCACGCACGAAGCGACCCTGGAAGACGGCGTTGTGGCAAAGGAAGGCGGACTTCGTGTTCGTCCACTTGCCTGGAGTTTAGGGCTTAGGAGTTTAGGTGGTTTAGGGTCTAGGGGTTGTGGGCCAGGGTTTAGGGGGTTTTGGCTTTAGAGCCTGCCAGCAGGTGCAGGTTTGAGGAGTTGAGGTTCGGGTTCCCTTGGGGCGATAAGAAGGGAGGAATGAGGACCGCGGGATGGAATTTTCGGTAGGCTGCCAAGGTCAAGATTTAAGAGGACTGCGGGTTGAAGGTTCGCGTGCCGAGCAAAGGCATTGTTTCGGGCTTTGGGCTTTACGAAAGAGCGTTGGAGTTCTTGGGGAACTTCAGCATCTAGGCATGAGCCTCGAGCTGCACAAGGCTAATGTAGGGGCCTTAAAGATTAGAGTAGGGTTTGGGGGGGTTCCTTATTGTAATTATAGTAGAATGCCCCAAACCCTATTCTAATGATTGAGGCCCCTACACCCTAAAGCCTTATAGTAGCCCTTATAGAACCCTCCAAGGAACCCTTTAAAGGAACCCAAAAAAACCCTGTTCTACTTATTAAGGCCCCTCTGTTACCTCATGGCCGTCGGCCTGTGGGCTTCTCGGCGTGGATGAGCATGGGCACTAGGGCCGAGTGCCAGTCGTTGCAGACAACCATGCAGTCACCTCCATACCTGGCCGGCTTTGAAGATCCTTTCGGGTTTTGGGGGTTTAAGGTTTAAGGTTTAGGGTTTAGGGTTTGGGGTTTAGGGTTTAGGGTTCGCACTTGCAGATGGGTCCCTAAACCGAACCACCCAACTCAGAACCACCGAAATCCAACACTCCAAGTCCTCAACCACGAACCTCCTAAAACCTTACCTCAATCCTCACTCAGACACCTTCACCCTCCAACACAAAGCAGTAAACCCTAAGCCCATGTAGAACCCCCTATTTGAACAACTTAGTTTGAAAAAAGCTGCGTAGACAAACCTTTGCCAGACTCTACATGACAGTCTTAAGTTCATAAAACTATACTGAACCCCAAGCCCCTAACTCTCAAGCCCCAAACCGCAAGGCAAAGCACTCCGAGCCCCGGGCACAGCGCCGCCCAGAGGCAGCTCCTGAATCGCCTTCAACGCGGCCTCTGCGAAGGAGGGACGGTTTGGGGCTGAGGGTTTAAGGTTTAGGGTTTTGGGTAAGTAGCAGAGACGACGCAAAAATCAGCCTTGTCAAGCACTTACAACATACCTAATAACTCGCAACGCCAAATCTTTAAGGTGCCACCACTTCGAAACGCTAGTCCCCAAACCTAAAACCCTGTCCTAAAACATACCCTTAAAATCGAATCTACTTATGAAGTATCCTGTACTAGACCCTTACAGCAACGCTTATAGAGCCCTACCCTTAGAGGGACCCGATTCACCCTACTCTACCCATTGAGGCCCCTGTGTGACTACCATCTGATATCCCTCCGTAGGCCCTTAACCTCTGAAGCCCTGAACCCTTAAACCCCATAAACCCTAAACTGGCCCTCGACCCTGTTTTAAGGCTTAGGGGTTTGGGGTTTGGGTTTCGGAAACCCCTAAACCCTAAACCTCTATCTTGCATGTCCGGTATTGTAGGGGAGCTAAAGGTTTATAAGGCTTATAGTACTCCAAGAAGGAAACAGGGTTGCCTATTCTACTATAAAGCCATGTTATTCTCACCATCCGATCTCCCTCCGCGCCTTGCAGAAGTAGGCAAAGCGAGCCTGGTTGTCTGCGAAGTCCTGTCTAGGCAACTGGGGGTTGAAGACCTACAGTATCGGGGCTTTAAGAATTACAGCAGTTTGCGGGTTTAGGTATTCGGGCTGAAACTTAGAAATTTTGAAACTCTGGGCTGGGTGTCGGACGCCGGTGTTGAGTATTTCGGGGTTTCGAATCTCGAGTTCTCGGGTGAGGCCAGGATTGGGGATCTACGGGGTTCGGATTCAGGGTTTAGTGTTTAGGGTTGAGGGTTTAGGGTTTAGGGGGGGCTTCGGGGCCAGAGTCCAGGATTGGGACCAGGATTGGGGATCGGAAGTATCGATCGGAGCTGTCCTGACCCCACTCCGGGCCGTACAGCTTGGCACCTGCACAACCCCATCGATGCCACTCATCCGGCAGTTTCTGCACATGACTCTCTGCACGAAATAAGGCCTACCTGACTTCCTGCGACTTGTATCTGCACTCTGCTGCCAGCAAACTTCCTTGCAGGCCCGTGCAAACTCCCCACTTCCCCTGCGCCTGTCAGTCCGTTGACGCGCTCCAGGAAGGTGGGGTGATCGACGAAGACGTAGTCGACCTGCAAGCAGGAACCATGCCATGCTGCTGGAGCTGGGATGGAAAGAAACAGGGGCCTTCTGCTTGTAGGTGTGGAAGAAGTGCACGGACTCGTTCTTGCCGCCCATGGGCACGGAGCCCCAGTAGCCCGTGTCCCAGGCCTCCTTGTACTGGTCGTAGCCTGCAGACGCAGTGAGGACGAGATGCCAGCCCTTGTTAGCTCAGCGATGAGAGAGGGCTGGCTCGGAGGCCCTCGCCCTCGGATCATGCTTTTTGAGGATTCTGGGCCGAGAAGCGAGGAGAGATGACCATGCAGCGGTGGCCCAAGGCCGCCAGCGCAATGGGCAGGCCGTCCATGGCCTCACCCAGACCTGAAAGCACGCAGGCTGCGAAGACTTGGCATGAGGGCACCGCAGAAGGGGGCGCCTCCGGTCTTCGAGAACGGTGCCACTTCGCTGGTCACGAACACGATCCTGACAATCTTTCTGCTGACACGCGACGTGTATGCCTAGATGATGCACATCTGCCAGCACGTTCGCCAAGGTGCTGAAACTTCTTGCTGATGGTGGTGACCAACTTGCCACCAGCCATAGACACTGCGGGACGTCCCTGATGCGTGGACCATTTCAATTCAGGCAGTGCGATCAACTACATGGTGAGATTTGCAAAAGCCAATCGGAACCTCAGCCATGGCGCGCCCAACGGCCACGGCAGGTGGCCCGATCTGCACCACGGTAGAAAGTCCGGTTGGAGTCAACACTTACCATGAACCACATGCATCCGTATGAAGCTGCCCTAAACCCGAAACCGTAAGCCCCCAAGAGGGATGTGAGCGCGGCCTTTGGGGCGCTGCTGGGCAGAACGGCGCCCGCCGCCTCAAGCCAAGGGAGACCGTCGCTCACAAGAGACATGATATAGAATCCTAAATAATTGCTTAGTACAGAAGCCTAAAAAAATTAGAACGGGATTCCTTTTAAGGGCAGTTGAGCATAGGGCCCTTGTACGTAGAATAAAGCCTTGGGGTACAATTTTACAAGGAGCCCCCAAAATAGTATTGATCGTTATTTTGGCCCTATGTTAAGCGCGTCCAGGCCTTGGCGTAGCCCCTGGCAGGGCCAACGGAGCTGGTGGTATGCGCGCTGCTGGCGATCTCGCCGGCAGCCACCGGCTTGCCGCTGACGATGTTCAGCACCTGAGTCAGGACATGTCAGGACACGCCATGTCGCAAAGTGCCAAAAGCTGGCAGGGAGCCCAAATGCCCACACATCTCAGCAACTCTCACGACTGCCAGCCAAGAGGCGCTGGTGGGGGCGGCCTGGGTCATGGTCGCGGAGCCGGCGTACTTGGAGGTGGTCGGCACGGCCGCGGCCGGCTTCGCCTTGGCCTGATCTACAAGACATGTTCCAAGCAACAAGCCCCAATCCCGACAAAGCCTCAAAAAAACGAAAGCCGTTGGGACCGGCCCCTGAACTGTCTACAAGGAGCTCCAAAGCCACAAGCGTCCCCAAAGTTAGCCCAAACCCCAAGAACTCAAGGCCAAAAGCCCAAAGCCCCGAAACTGTGGGCCTTGGGCGCCTCTGCCTTGGCTCCCATTCCTGGCTCCACGAGCTTCCAGACATGAGTTCGACGTTTTCAAGACCTGGGAACCAGAATGATAACGGAAAGGACAGCAGTACGAACAAGAAGAAATGGTAGTAGTGGTGCTAGTAATACCTGTAGAAGCAGGCTGCAGCTGCATCAGCTGCAGGAGTAGGAGTATTAGTGAGTGGGAGTGTGAGTAGTAGCAGTGGGAGTAGCAGTAGGAGTAGGAGCAGGAGTAGTAGTAGGAGCAGGAGGTCGAGTAGGAGGTCGAGTAGGAGGAGGAGGAGGAGGAGGACGAGGACGAGGACGAGGACGAGGACGAGGAGAGGACGAGGACCAGGACGAGGACGAGGAGGAGTCGCTGTCGTCGTCGTAATGACAACAAAAGAAAACATGACAAATGATAGTGACACTAATAAGACAAAAAGAAGAAGAATAGTTAGCATGGTGAGGTCTATGATGTAGATTATGGTGAGTAGGCGACAGAGTAAACATAGTACTGCTGATATGATTGATGTGTTGGAGCGCTTTGACATCTACAATCATTCCATCTGAAGAAATACGTGCGGGCATTCAACTACTTTAAAATAAAGAATGAGCACGCAACAACAACATCCAAACACAGAATACAGGACGCTCACTGAATCCCGAAAGCCCCAACCCTAAAACCGTCAAAACTCTCAGCCTTAGCCCTTGAGGCCCTGAACCACAAAGCCGTGTCCTCTGGCCAGGACCGAGCCGGTTGCAGCGAAGCGCTCGGCAGCCGTCGCAGGCTTTTTTCCTTCCTGACTCGGGGAACTCAGGATTTAGGGTTCAGGGAAGGGTTTAGGAGAGCACGGGAGCGGGGCTTTTGCATCTCGCGCTTGGGCTGCAATCTACACTCGGAAACCGCACACCAACGAATGTTTGTAGAACGTGCCGGGCTCAGGGCCGAGCGATGAGGATGCCGGGCAGCACATATCCCAAGTCCCAAACCCTAGAGACCCAAATCCAAAGCCGTAAACTATAAACACGGACCCTCAAGCCATGGGGTGAAAGGTAACGAAGATCCTCAAACTCCGAAATCCGAACCCTTCCAAGCACCGTGTTGCAACCCAAGCCCGCCTGCCCTAAAGCCAAGAACCCTCATAGTAACCCTCCTAGAAATCCTTCCCGTACCCTTATAGTACCCTTATACTAGAACCCGAAACCCGAAACCCCCTAAATCCCCATAAACCCCCTAAACCCCCTAAACCCCTAAACCCTACACCTCCATGACGGCGGCAGCCGAAATCGGCGACACCGCCTTGGACTTGGGAGCAGCGGCGGAGACCTTGGCAGCTGCGGCTTGCTCGGGCCCGCGGCTAAGGGCTTTGAGTTTAGGGGTTTAGGAGGGTTTAGGGGGGGTTATGGGGGGTTTAGAGGTTTAGGGGTTATGGGGGTTTTGGGTGGTTTTGGTGGGTTATGGGGTTAGGGGGTTTAGGGGGGTTTAGGGGGGTTTAGGGGGGTTTAGGGGGGTTTAGGGGGGTTTAGGGGGGTTTGGGGAGTTTAGGGGGGTTTAGGGTTTAGGGGTTTAGGAAAGCCCTCTAAACCCTGAAACCCCCAACATCCGAAACCACAGTAACAGTTCGCCTTACACCAACCCTTACCATAGTAAACACTCCAGGCAAAAAGCCGAAGATCCCTTAAGGCCTCAAGTCCAAACCCCCAAAAAAACAGAAACACCGGATTGAGGGCTTCGGGTTTAGGGTCTAGGATTTAGGGTCTAAGATTTTCGGCTTCAGGGGCTGAGGTCTGAGTTTGCTCTTCTTTCCAGGGCCTACCTAAACCCTAAACTCTAACCCCGAAACACTAAACCCTGAAACCTCAAAAGCCTAAATCCGAATCCTGACCCCAAGGAACCCTAAACCCTAAACCCCTGAGGAACCCTAAGGAACCCTAAACCCTAAACCCCCAAGGAACCCTATCGGAACCCTAAACCCTAAACCCCCAAGGAACCCTATCGGAACCCTAAACCCTAAAGCTGGAGCTTTAGGGCTTCTGTGCTCTGCAGCCCGGCGGCGCCGGCGGAGGCCGGGCTGGTGGTGGTCGGGCCGCTGCCCGAGGCCTGGTTGACAGATCCCCAAGCCGCACGGCTACTCGAAGGCTCTTGTGAAGGGTTTGGGGCTTAGGGAGTTTAGGGACTTTTGGGTTTAGGGAGTCTGGGGAATTTGGGGTTTAGGGTATGGAGTGTAATCGTGTACTGTTGTGCTGTTGGGTGACATGACGTGATGTGACACTTTGATATTAAGGGTTTGAAGTACACACAGTTACAACTCCAGAGCTCTTCATGTCACCATCAAGCCCCACTACACCGGAAATCCTAGACCCGAAAGCCCTTCTAAAACTCCAGAACCCTTCTTGGAACCTGAAGGATCCTTCCAAAACCCCTTAATCTAGGGGCCTTAATAGTTGGAATAGGATTTAGGGTTACTTGTACTAGAATCATAATACGGAACCCCAAAATAGCATTGGTAATCATTAAGGCCCCTATATTACATACCTTTGTTGCCCAACCGCTACAGAACCCTAAGAAGCTGGAAGAACCCTTATAGGACTTTTCTAGAACCTCCAAGAGCCTTAGAGAACTTTTTTGGGTAATCGTCAAAGCCAGGATCCCGGATCCCGATGCACTCTACTCTTAAGACGGCACCCTATGGCTTGGGAAACCTACAGGAAACCCTAGTTTTGCGAACCATCCTTGAATAAAACTCTTCAACTCTGCGGCTACAGCCTTGGGAGCCGATGCACCGGTCACCAACGCTGCGGCCTTGGACTTCGGCACCTGAGGCGGCGAGGAAGAGTCGAAAAAGAGGCTGCTAGAAGGGTTGCCGTAAAGGGGTACTATCTAGGGTTATGTTCAGGAGACATAGGGTACTACAAGGCTGTCATGAGTCATAATGGTTACTGTGAGGGATTCTATCACGGTTGCTATTCCTTTCAGGAGTTTCGGAATTTAGGATTTAAGGTTTACGGAACTAGGGTTTTGCACACATCCCTGCAGACACTGCATGCAACCGGATACTACGCTTAACCTTAACCCCCGAACCCTCAACCCCAAACCCTCGAACCCCTAAACCCTA